ACTGTCATCCTTTGCGTTACCACAGTTTTTTATTTAGCTAAACTGTGAATGCTTCGAAAACAACTGTCCCCACTGCTCTTCTCAGTTTACTTCACGCCGGGTCAAAGAATTCATACCAATTTCTTCGAACCCTGTTCGGCCTAGCCGCTCTTCCCTTTATTAGTTTCTGGACCGTCCAGTTTTGATGTTTCAAAACTACGGCTCGGCTTTACAATTTCCATAACTTTAAAGCCAGACAAGGTAAATGTTTAGCTCCCGCATCCTAGAAGTCCATGTTGCTATTCCCATAAACGTCAGGATCGCCAACAGGTTGACTATCAGACGATGCAACACTGTTAAAGCAAATGGAGGATTTGTCAGCTACATAAATGGAAATCCAGGGTATGAGTTTTAACTGCTCGAAGCGAACACTGGGCTGTAGTCTTTAAATGTATTAAACAAAAAAGCAAAAAAATTTTTCAAAAATTCGATGTAAAGTGAAAAAAAAAAATGCAAGAATTACAGACATCTGAGCATTTTCATACAAGCTATAGAAGACATCACAGTGGTGTTCGGTTATGGCACATAAAGATAAAGACTTTCGGGACAGTAGTCTTTTTGAGAAAGGGAATGATAATTTTGAGGTACATATTTTGGTCCTATGAGTGTTTGTATTCACGGTCGATCATTTTAGCGATCGTCGACAATTGGATATTCGATGTTCCTTCGTAAATTGTTCCTGAAATTGATCGGTTCTTCAAGTCGCCAAAGTATCGAGTAAGTGTCATCACATAAGTTTTAAAATTCCCCAATTTTGTCAGAGAATCATTCAAAATTTCGAAAAAGGACAATTTATTGAGAAAACAGTCAGAAACAGAATGGTCAAAAGGAATTATACCAATTTTGCAGTCGCGGTAATATTTTTCAACAGTGAAGTGTTTCGTATATCCGACGCCACCCATCCATTCAATGCACTTGCTTGTTGTAGCTGTTGCAACCACCGAACTGTACCACTTCGCCATTGCTGCTTCCTGAAAAGTTCAAGATGGGAAGCAAACTTTTCGGAAGTGCTAACAGAACTTAATAAATGGCAACGCGCACCAGACTAGCCGGTGCGATCATGCGTTTTGTGCAGTTCAGTCCATCGAACGATTA